GCCTCCTCGTTGTACGGACCAATTACCGAGTCGAAAATAAGGAGGGGGGGGGTAGGGGGAAGCTTTCTTTTAACAATTACAATACTCAAATAAGGTGATTAACTGGCCTCTATGTCAACAAGAACACTGCTATAAATAACGTCATCTAGCGTGTTATTATTCTCAGTACAAGTAATAACAATAATGGTGATTTAAAACGTTATTGGCCTCTAAGATCATTTACAAAGACGTTATTTACCTCCACACGACCAAGTAAAACAGAGTTAGGTAATGACAAGACGGCGTTTGGTCTCTCAAGATGTAATCACAATAACAGCAAAAAATAACAAGTGTAATTTTTTTTAGCGAGTCTTCGGTAATTTTTGGGAGACAGTTAATTGAAATCAAATACTCAGAGGAACCAACTAAAAGAGTGAATGTTTGACGCGTAGTTTTGTTGAAGTATCGTTTACACACACACACACACACACACACACACACACATACACACACATACACATATTCAGATACACACACATATATACGCCACTTAAGGAATAGAGTATCTTAACTTTATCTCGGTTATTTTATAACTAATATTAACCATCAATTATCTTCTTAGCCATGACAGAAATATTAAAGTCAACGAAATGTGTTAACCCTTCAGGGCTTTAAACCATCGACTTGCTTCTCCCGTCTTACCAATACTTTACGCTAAATTCATCATAAAACTAGTTTGGATTCGTAAGAAGATTGAGTTATAAGGCCATCTTCCCCCTCAGAGTCTTATAATAACAATAAATACATAACACGAAGGACACTGAGCATCATAAAGCCTTACAATATGTCAAACAAGGCTTACCTCACTTATCACCCGGCGGAGTCACTCACATTTACACTCATAAACTCTTCAATATCCTCATAATTCCTCTTCAACTGTTATTGTTTTACACATCAATAAAGTCTTCACTCACTGTTGATACTTCTGGTTTAATGTCAACAGTGTTTATAATGTTGTTTAGCTATAAAACACAAATAAACACAGGCAAAACAAGATACTGTCTACCCCGATGACAGCAGGACGCGCAGCTGTTGGTTCTTGTGGTAAACACTGAAGTGGCTGAACTAGTGAACAGTCCTTCCACACGGCACACTACCGTACATTCTCTTTGGTGAACGTAATGTAAACTAAAATACGGTACAGGTATATTTAATTTTATTTTAGTCATTCTGCTTATACGTTGAAAAATATAATGTAATTTTAATATATTTCGAGAAGTATATTACGAATTTAGTGAATGTCAGAAAGACTTATTTAAGAAGCTGTTATTATATACACGTCATTATAACACATAAATTCATAATACACAATAATTTAGATAAGCCAATTAATAAAAATAGGTTACATAATATTTGTTTTAAGTATCTATTAAGTGATTGGTGTAAAATAATCGTAGATAAATTATTACTGATAGGGGAGTGACGTAATATTCTGAATAAGTCACCAATGTTAATGTGTTCTAACGAGCAGACGAAATATAAAACAGCAGTACTTTTGGTTAGGTTAGGTTAATAAATGCTAAATGTTACAGGAATAGTTTACTTTTTTTTTAAATTGGTATTATAATGAGATCTCCGGCTAAATTGATCGATTCTCTGACCTGTGTTGGCCTGCACTTGTTCACCACCGTGTTCAAACTTGTTCATCACCACCACCGTGTTCACACATTATCCACCACCTCCCACCCATCCAGTAATCCACTAATCAGGAGGAGACTCACGCCTCACCCGAAACAAAAACTGCCATTAATCCCTCAAATCACCTAATCTCTCTCTCCTAATCACCTAATCACCTCTAATAGTGGATTTTCAAAAGATTACCACTTTCACCTTTTTTCACCTAAATCACGAATGGAGGGGGGGAGCAGGGGGGGAGGAGGGGGAGGAGGAGGGGAAGGAGGGAGGGGGAGAAGGGGAGGAGGGGGAGGGAGGGGGGGAGGGAGGGCTCGTGAGCAAACTAGAGTCTCAGACCAATTGAGAAACCATCTTGAGTGTTTGTGTCTTAACCTGGAGACGTAACCTTGTGTTTTGGTCGAGTCTCTGTGTAACATTGACGCCATCTTTGTTGTCTTCGTTGTGGTTCTCAGAAGTAAAATGGCGTTTCAATTGTTCTGAGACTCTAGAGTAACATGTTAATTCAGACCTTATATTACTGTTGGCTAGTGTCTCTCTCTCCTCACCCACAATTTATTTCCATCTTTTAAGGTCATTAATCCTTCCTTCCTTCCTCTTCTCCCAGTCATCAATTTATATCAAGTGGTCCAATGACTCTCTATCTCTCCCCCTCTCTCTGTTCGCTACGCTTTCATTGTATTTCTTATCTTTAAACTATTCAACGTTTTTTCTCTTTGTAAACTCTCAGTATATTTTCTTTCCTCAATCAGCATGTATGTATATAAGAGACATACATACATACATACATCCATACATACATACATACATACATACATACTGCCACTAGTTAACCTCTACACGTGACGTATATTTCAGGGAGGGAGGGGGGAAGGGGGGGAGGGGGAGCCAGCGTGAATTCCTACCCAGCTCGAGTGCAATTGTTCTCGTTCCTCAGAGCCAAGACACAGTGAACCAGGAGAGTCAAGCCGCCCAACAAGGTATTTTTTCCTCACTTGTATAAATTAGAATTGTTTTGTGGGAAGAGTTTTGGCCACGTGAAGTATGTGAAGGATAGTTGAAATTATTATTATTATTATTATTATTGTATTTATCTTTGTCGTTTAACACAAAATGGTTTTATAGTTAGGGGGAAGGCATGGAGGTGTGTGTGTGTGTGTGTGTGTGTGTGTGTGTGTGTGTGTGGACATTAATTTTATACCTGTATGTTGTCAATGGTGGGAACAAACAAACACAGGTAAGGTGTGGTGAGGTGTGTAGTATCACCTGTACACACGTCATAGTTCACACCTGGTAAATATCTTCCATCAATTTATAAGTTAAGTTAGGTTACGTTTAGGTTTAGGTTTAGGTTTAGGTTTAGGTTTAGGTTTAGGTTTAGGTTTAGGTTTAGGTTAGGTTAGGTTTAGGTTAGGTTTAGGTTAGGTTTAGGTTAGGTTTAGGTTTAGGTTTAGGTTAGGTTTAGGTTAGGTGATCCTTGATTGATTTTAGCGCTCTATGACTCACACTTAAGGGAACAATATGGATCAGGGGTTTTGAGTGCCACTTGAGCGCTACTGGTTTCAAGGAGAAGATGCACAGTAAGGCGTTGAGGGTGTACTTGTCAACACTGAATTACTGCCTCCCCCCCCCCACCACCACACACACACGATGGTTTGAGGCGTTTATGTGTGTGTGTGTGTGTGTGTGTGTCCATTATTTCTAATTGTACATGTGCGTGTCTTTATACGTACATAAGTGCGTGTGATTACTTGCTATATACGTGTGAATGTACGTATAATTGGCTTTATGTGTATGTTTGTGTATGTATGCGTGTGTGTTTTTTTGCAAAGATATAATTATAGATAATGACAGTACAATCACAGGGTCGCTCTCTGAGGCAGGAGGGAGACGTGTACAGTGTGTGTGTGTGTGTGTGTGTAGTGTGTGTGTGTGTGTGTGTGTGTGTGTGTTTGAGTCAATTCAGGAAGATTATGGCAGTATTTGTCATGCTACCTTACACACACACACACACACACACACCTGAAGCAGTAATGTTTGAGTCAGTGTTTAGTCTGACGAGGATGTTTAAGAGCCTCTAGATAAATGTTTACACCGTGTGAGAGAGAGAGAGAGAGAGAGAGAGAGAGAGAGAGAGAGATCTGCTTTTACATACACACACACATAACTTAAATTACCTTACACACACACACACACACACACACCTTACCTGTCATCATTATACCCTACTAATTACTCTCCACACCTGTCTATTAATCCTCCACACGGGCCATCACTCAGAGAATCATTGTAATTGATAAAAAAACTGAACACTTTTGCACCAGGTCCCGAGGCTCAGATGAGACGCGTTCGTGGAGAGGAATTTTTTAATGGAATCTTCCTGAGCGTTCGTCAGCGCTTTTAAGTCGATCATATCTGAAATTCTGCAGTTTTTTTTTCATCCAGATACTAAGACATGCTGCTCTCTCTCTCTCTCTCTCTCTCTCTCTCTCTCTCTCTCTCTCACACCGAAAAAATGGACTTGATCACATAGGCTCTCAATCTATCATAGTCAGGTGATCAGCCACTCGTACAGTGATTGGTTCCTCGAGAGCTATGACGTCACTGTACCCCATCTGTGATTGGTTAGGGAGTAGCTTTGACGTCATCGATTCAAATCACGGATTGGCCGGCTATGAGGAACGTCGTCATCCAGCCGCTGATGACGTTTTCGATATGTACGGTAAATAAATATATACATAGTCGATGATTGGCCAACTAGGGTATAAAACGTCATCAAGCAGCTGCTAACGTCATGGTTATAGTCAATGATTGGCCAGAGGAGGATATGATGTCATCTCACTGTTGATGAATGAGCCAATCCCATCACAGAATCATTACCCAGAATCCCTCCTTCTCTCCCATCTCTCCCATCTTTTACGGGTTGGCGATAATCCACAAAATCATACGAATTATATATCATATGTAAAAAAAAAAATCATACACAGTAAATATACTTTGTTAAAATTGTAAATAAAAATCCCGAAAAACTTACCTTACAGCATCAGATTTGTCCATAACTTGATTTTCTCGAAGACAGGATTTGGAAATATCAGATTTTTTCTTCTCCAAAACACAAGATTTTTGAGAGTCAGATTTCCGAGGATTTTGTTATATGATCAGATTTCTCAGAGATCATATTTTGTGAGGAATTAATTACTGAAGGTCAGATTTGAAGACACAAGGCAATGGGCGCAGGTAGGCGGCACGATACTAAGGTGATTAATTAAGGTAACTGACTAAGGTAATTAACTCAGGTAATTAACTATGGTAATTAATTAGGGACTTACCTTAGACTGAGGTTGGCTGTATCTCTGGGCGTTCTGTGGGCGCCTGGGCAGGGTGTAGTGGGGTGTGTGGGCGTGGGCGTGGGCGGCTGGGTGGGCGTGAGATCTACGCCCTAAACGGTCCAGCGAGGCTGTCCGTAGCCCGCCCACAGAGTGATCTGAGTCACTCGAACTTTTGGTCTGATATTTTGAGTGTGCATACGTACATGTGTGTGTGTGTGTGTGTGTGTGTGTGTGTGTGTGTGTGTGTGTGTGTGTGTGTGTGTGACCAGGTGTACACAGGGGGCACAAGGACACACACGAGAATTGGGTAAATGGGAATAATGTGGTGTTGATGGGCGGTGGGCGGTGGGTGGGAGGGTATGGGCGTGGAGGTGAACGTAGAGATGGGCGTAGGTCAGTCAGGCACATGCAAGAGAAGAAAGAAAGACAACAGTAAATTAGTAAACAAACAACACTCCTCACAACCACATTTACACCTCATGATTTACAAAATTTACAAAATCATGTAAATTTAAAAGGAAAACAAATCACAAACTGACTTAAATACAAAGATTTTATAAGAGACGAGACAAAAGGTTCTTATATAACTATACCATGATATAGGAGAGTTAAAAAAGGGTTAAATAGACGCTATATATACACTAAATATTTCCCCAAGTATATACATATAAAATAACTGTACTTTACACCAGATAACGAAGTATTTATTAATCACTTATTATTATGAAGGAACACAGTACATACCGCTATATTTTATCTATATATACGTGGGAGAAACTGTCTGATATATTGAAAAGATTTGATGAATGGAATTGATAACATTAAAAGGTATATATATTATTTATAGTCAAAATAACACTTCACCAGGACAATAATAACAATAATAAACATTAAATTATTTACGTGTCACCATGCAGTCGTGAACAGGGTCTCAGAAGGTTCACAATACCAACAGGAAAAATATAAACTCCACAACACAGACGGAGGAGAAAAGTATATGCACAATAAACCTTCTTCAGGATGTAAACACACGATAAAAACAAAACACGATCGCTCGACTATAAACACTATGGATGTAGAGAGAGATAACCGTGTGCAGTAGGGACTATTTTCCCCTTGTATTATTAGAGGAAATTTTACCTAATAGGCAGAAGTAAAAAAAATCGATAACCATTCACTTGCAAGAGCGAGCTGTTGGAGGGGGGGCTTGGAGGTTCTGGGGGGTCTGGAGGGTCTGGGAGGGTCTGGGAGGGTCTTGATATTTTGAGAAAAGACTAAAACTAACTTGATCAATAGTGATTAAAGTTATAAATTGGGTGTGGAAGGGGGGAGGGGTATGGGGGAGGGGGAGGGGGTATATTATCATACTAATATAGTCTTCAAATCCAGACCCCAACACTCAGTACGGATACAAAACGGGCGAAGGTACGTCTGGCGACGATTGAAAACCTGAGTCATAACTGAGGGGAGGGAGATAGCAGGTGGAGGGAACGCCAGTCGATGTTGATTTCGCTAGTGCTGGCAGCTTGGAGGACCAGTGACTTACGCCTGCTGGGAACTGTACAGCCACTTAAACTGAGTCAGACAGTCACTTAAACTGACAGTCAGACAGTCAACTCCAGGTGCTGTCAAGGATGTTTTCTGTCTCTAAATAACCCATAAGTTATCTAAGTGTAGAGAGGAGGGTTAGTCTCTCTTCCCGCCTTCAGATTACCTAGGTGACGTCACGTGTGTTTGAGTGACGTCACGTTTGCTTGAGTGACGTCACGTTTACGTCATAGGGGGGTGTTGTATGCTAGAAGGAACTGATTAATACGTTACTTTGGACAGGTATAGACAGGTATTCTCACCACATAAGTCCCTCGCCACATATTAGACAGCTATCAACACTTATTACACAGGTATCAACGACACACATCACGACAGGTAGTCAGGACAAGGAACTTTAAACAGGTATTCCGGACAGGTACACAACACAATTAAATAACTTATCTCAAGGCCAAATTAGGTTTACCTGCGTTAGTGTTCTTTAAAATGTAATAACCCGGACGATAATTATGTGAGGGGAACACAGGTGAGACAAAGGTGTAATTTATCCACCCTCTTGATGCTTTAATTAGATCTGACTTGGATATAGAAGTCAAACACACCTGTAAGCTTATCCCTAAGTGACGTGCCGGGGTGAAAGAGGGGTGACAGAGAGAGAGAACAAGAACAGACAGACAGACAGACCAACAACGAGACAGTAGACGTCACACAACAGCACATCACACTCGAGGTCTCAAGTTCTTGTACCTTCAGCATGCGGTGAGGGCTGACTGGAGGATGAGTTTGAAACATCTCGTCCTCCACCTCCTCGTGTATGATTGGCTGAGGTCGTCCTTGGCGGGAACGACCTCTGCTGTACGACCACTTGTGGCCGATGTACAGCGACTGTATCTCTGGCGGGAACTGAGCCAAGCGGTGGGCGACCCAGTTACCGACGGCGACTCTGGCCACGTCGCGGTTAGCTATGAGGTGGTGGGAGGCGGTGCCCCTGTTGGATGGCTGCACATGTTGCTGGTAGTTCCTGAAGGAGCTCTGTTTCAGCTGCCGATTGTGGTTCCCTGGCGATGGTAGCGTCGCCTGCTGGTACTGGGCGAGGTCTGACAGTGTTAGTGACCACCTCCGAGGCTTGTGGACGGCGTCGACTACCACTGGAGGCGACACTCTTGACGGTGGCATGGATGTGAAGATAGCCTGGGCGGCGGCAGGGGCCAGTACTTTACGAAGACGAGGTTCTGAAGCCGTCTGGCGTGTTAAGTGCTGTTGTGCCCCACCTGGAGGAGCCGTGTGTGCTGCCGAGGGTAACTGATACACGACGGGTAGCCCTGGCCTCGAGGGTCCCTGGTAAGGAAATGTTGGGCTAAAGGTCTGGGTTGTGGCGACCGCGGCGGCGTACGGCTGCACCTTCTGGCCCGAGGGATCCTGGACCATGAAGACTGAGGTGAGGGAATTGGCCCGGCGCACCACCTGCTGGCCAGGCGTCGATAACTTGGAAGAACTCGAGGACTGACTCGAGGTGGAGTCTCGCCGACCCACCGTCGTAAGTTTGGTCGTTGGGGACCTGACGGGCGGCGCTGGCTTGAAGGACGACCTCTTGGAGCGGAGGGAAGACGACCTTGAACCATAAAATTGTGGGTCGTAACTGGGCCTCTCCTGGGTGAGACCCGAGACCGGCTGGTTACCGGCCTGGCTGGGGAGGTCCAGGGTGGAGGGTCTCGTGCGGAAAGACGCCACCGAGGAGGCGGCGGAAGTAGTGGAGGCATTAGAAGCAGTCTTGATGGCCGGTTTATGAAGTGGAGGCGGAAGAGCCGCGATGTCAACACCCGCCTCGTTCATCACCTTAATGTTGTGTTTGATCAAGTGGTCGTCGATGACTGTCTGCATGGCCTCCGTGTCCGTCTTGGTGAGCGCCAGGTTCAGGGGGTGGTAGTCGCTGCGTCGCGTCCTGGGCTCACTTCTGGTGCGTCTCACCATTTGATGCTTTTTCACGACTTTGGGTGTTGGTGGCTGTTCACTCCTTGTCCGCTGTACGTCGGTGTGCTGCACAGTGCTGCCCGGCGTTGTGCTTCCCCTTCTATCACCGGAGGATTGTTTTGCTTCATCTAGTTTAGGGTCCGCTGATGGAGGTGACGGGAGGGGCCGCTCTGGAAATCCTTCCCTCCTGGGGGACTCTGGGACTTTCTGCACCTCCCCACTAACTTCTTTAGAGTGTTGGGGTGTAGCGCCGCCATCTTGTCGAGCTTTACGAGTTGCCGCGACGACTATGGGAGGCGGCGGTGTGTCATAGATGGGGCGGGGTGGTCCAGGTACAGAGTAGCTACCGTCCATGTCAGGGCTCTGTGTCTTCACACTCTCAACCTTGTCTTTCAGCGCGGCTCTCCCGGTCACTGACTCTGCAGTAAGCTCGGAGGCTGATCGCTCTCTCTCGGTGTCTTTCTTGGAAGAATCTCCGCCACTTCCGTCTTGTGACCTGTCTCCTGGTGTGTCCGGGTTAGACGTGGACATTCCTCCCTCAGGACTTGGCGACTGTTCTCGGATCTGTTCAGAATTTGTTTCATTTTGCTGGCTGGCTGACCCCTGGCCAGGAGTCGTCTCCACGTTGTCACCATCCTTGCCAGATTTAGCCTTGGACGTCCTCTTCTCGTAGATCTCCGTCGGGGTCATGATGTCGTACCCAGGAGACTTCTCCACGTCCTGCTTGTCCACACCGAAGTCAAAATGTCTGCCGCCAATAGTGTGAGACCTGTTGTCCACAGTGTCGTAGCCAGCGCTGGCCGGGTCAGAGTCAATGGTCTTGCTGCCGTTGCTTCCCTTCCGCTCCTTCTTCTTGTCGTGCTTCAGCCTCCCGAGACCGAGGGTTAACCTCCTCTTGTGGCCGCCGCTGGTCTTCTCCTTCGCCCGGGAGTCATACCTGGAGGTGGGCGTCACCTGACCTCGGTGTTCTCCCCGAGGTGTGAACCCCGAGGCGTAGGCGTTCTTCAGCTCCAGGGAGCTCACTGACCTCGACCCTCTACCTCTCGTTGACCTCAGGGACACTGTCCGTTCGAGAGAAGACGGCCTCCTTGACAGCTGACTGGTGGAGTACCGTCTGTAGCTCTCCGGAGACAGTGCCTCGTCTACCCCGTCCGTCCTCCCCAATGGGTTTCCGTCCTCGAGGGATCTGAGGAAGAGTTCCTCAGTAGACTTTACCCCTTTCTCACTCTCTCTCGGCCTCTCATAGAGCTCCTCCGAGGACATGACATGTCTGCTGCTGCTGCTGCTGGTGTTGTCTCTGCTGAACTTTGATGCCGTGCGTTTGTTGGTCTTGTGGTCCAGGGAAGGGGTCGACTCACTACGATGGACCCACCACTTCCAGAAGGGCATGTACTTCTTGTCCACCTCCCCCATGACGCCCTCCTTCATCACCCTCCTCCTCCTCCTCCTTCACCACACTGTCTACTACAGCTTCTGACAGCAAGTTCTGTTCCACTGACTTGTACTGCAGCCTCTGACACAGCCTGCTGATACCGTCACAATAACTGACGCCGTATTTTCTTTAGTTACGGAATATAAACACAACGCTATAGAAACAAAATCTTTACAACGCTTTAATATGGACTTTTTCCCATAGTATAAAAATACACTTTACACTTTACACACACTCACACTTACACACACACTCACACTTACACAAACACTCACATACATTACATTCTATTTCGTATTGCGGATTCCTAGAACACATCATACAATACAATACAATACAATAAATCAGTGCTGTATTCCAGGTGTGACTTATGATGTCCTAATTATGTATCACAGTTTTGCAACTATGTAACATGTGCATTGCAACTAGGTGATGAGTGTTGCAACTGTCTGCTGTGTTGTCGTTAGTGTAACACCTTGCAATTGCACCTTGTGGAGTTGCATATATGTGTGTTGTAATGATACACTCATTGCAAGTATGTGATGTGTGTTGCATTTGTGTTGCATAGTGAAAGACACATATGTTACGTGTTATGTTTGTTACAGTGTGTGTTATGTGTTGTATCTGAGTTTTATAATGAAAGACACATGTAGTACGCGTTACATTAAGTATTGTAATCACGTGACACAGTGAGGGAATTAAGCGTTACGTTATGATAATACGTCACGTGTTATGGTCATATAATCAGAGAGTCATCACGTAACGTGGCTTTGTGATTATAGGATTGTTTATTATATATGTCGACCTGATCTACGTTCATTGTTATGCATGACGCGCTGATATATATAACAGGAGTTTACGCTGGCATTAAGAGTGTTTTATGATGTGATTAAGTTCCTGTGTTATAACGAAGAATAAGTCTTACCGCAAGTAGGGTAGGGTCAGCGAATCCGATCCCCAAACACCTTAGAGAATCCGGCTCCAAACCCATAATGAATTCGGGCCAAAAAAACTTCAATGAATCCGATCCCCCAAAACCCTAGTGAATCCGGCTCCAAAAACCTCATCGAACCCGGGGCCTTGGAGGGGTGGTGGCTGCAAGTCAGTATGCAAATGAAGTGATGACAAACAAAACACAAAGCGACATCTATCATCATAAACGACAACTACTACAACAAGCAAAATTTTCCTTTCAATTACAGGTGAGAAGGTCGCCCCAGGTGAGAGACAGATTATCTTCAGTAATGGACGTGTTGTACCAGATTAATCTGAGGCTTACCCGCAGTGAGAAGGAATGAGGGAGGGAGGGAGGGTGAGGGAGAGAGGGAGGGAAGAGGGCTAGGGAGATAAGGGGGTTAGGAAAGGGTGAACGGGGAAGGGAGGGATTGAAGGAATGAAGGAGGGAGGGTTGATGAGGAGGGGAAGGAGGAAAGGGGGAAGGAAAGTTTTCTCTCCCTCCCTCAGCCAAGACATTGATTACTTGTTGAAGGAGGGAACCGTTTCTCTACTCCCTCCCTCCCTCCTTCCCTCTCCCTCCCTCCGTCTCTTATCTCCAGAATGTCGTGAATACTTAAAAAGACACACACACACACACACACACACACACACACACACACACACACACACACACACACACACAAATGGCCACTTCAGCTCGGGAACCTTTCAAACACTCGTCCTGCACAAAACTGCGTCTCACTTTCTCTCCCTAATATCCCCAGCCTTCCAGTGTGGGGGAAAAATACTCGATATTCCTCCACACTATCTTAAATTCTTCCCCCAGAGTAGTTTAAATATTCCCTATGGATCCTTAAATTCCCCCAAGAATATCGGGATATTATTTATGTGACTGAATATTTCTTGCGTGCTTGATTATTCCTCCTAAGACTAAATATTCCTTATGTAACTCAGTATTTCGTCTTAATTTTCCCTGTATAGCTCATCAATGATCCTTATCACTTCAGATTATTATTATTATTATTATTATTATTATTAGTAGTAGTAGTAGTAGTAGTAGTAGTAGTAGTAGTAGTAGTAGTAGTAGTAGTAGTAGTAGTAGTAGTAGTAGTAGTAGTAGTTTTAGTAGTGGTATAATTATTGTTGTCATTATTACCATTATCATTCTCTCACGTAATTAATAAACTTAAATCATATTATTATTATTATTATTATTATTATTATTATTATTATTATTATTAGTATTATTATTATTATTATTATTATTATTATTATTATTATTATTATTATTATTATTACTATTATTTCTTGCATTACCATTATTCCTACCATTACTAACTTCACTACAACACGTAAATTAACACAAAAACGGAGCGAGAAATAATCAAATGACAAACTAAACGACATTAATTACATCACAGTACCTCAGTTATATGCCAGCCACAACAACGTTATATAACACTTATATAATTAATTACATGACGTTAGTTTAATATAGAGACAATATAGGTAAGTAGGCCGTGGTAAATGATCTCACGCTCCGTTTTCTATGAATATAAGAGATGAAAGAGGGTGTGAGGGCATTCAGTGACACACGTTTCTTGATGTCTGTAGTGAAGATCTTATGCTGTACCTAACCTAACCTAACTTATCCTACACCTGAAGTTTACATGAAATTCCCACCTCCAAAACACACACACACACACACACACACACACACCTGAAGTTTACATGAAATTCCCACCTCCAAAAAAACACACACACACACACACACACACACACACACACACACACACACACACACACAGACACACACACACAGACACACACACACACACACACACAGTAGGTCAGCCAAGCAAATTATTTAAGAGGGAGGCATTAATTCCTCGTTAAACCAGACCGTGTGTGAACCTACATCAAATTCTGGCGATGGTTCCGCTGACATATTACTGCCCCAGGTGCACGATACCGTCTCTCCCAGGTGCACGTTACTGCCTCCCCAGGTGCACGTTATTGCCCCCCCCCCAGGTGCACGATACTGCCCCCCACCAGGTGCGTCGATACTGCCCCCCCAGGTGCACGATACTGACCCCCCCAGGTGCACAATGATACCGTTCTCAAGGTGCACGTTATTGCCCCCCAGGTGCACGATAGGCGCACATACTGCCTCTCAGGTGCACGATACTGCCCCCCCCCAGGTGCACGATACTGCCCCCCCAGGTGCAATGATACTGCCCCCCCAGGTGCACGTTACTGTTCTCCTGCGGTGCACGATATTGTTTCAGGTGCACACGATACGCCTCATAGTGCACGATACTGCCCCCCCAGGTGCACGATACCGCCCCCAGGTGCACGAGATACTGCCCCCCAGGTGCACGATACTGCCCCCCCCCAGGCACGATACTGCCCCAGGTGCACGATATCGCCCCCCCAGGTGCACGATACTGCCCCCCAGGTGCACGATAATGCCCCCCAGGTGCACGATACTGCCCCCCCAGGTGCACGATAATGCTCTGGTGTGCACGATACTGCCCCCCCAGGTGCACGATACTGCCCCCCAGGTGCACGATAATGCCCCCCAGGTGCACACTACTGCCCCCCCCCAGGTGCACGTTATTGTTATTACCTGTCTTGTATTTTTTTTGTCTTTTATTTTGTTTTGCTTTTTGTTTTGTTTTGATTTATTTGTTTTATTTTACTTTTTTTTATTTCAATTCTATTTATTTTTTATCAATTTTTTTTAGATATGTTGTTGAATAAATATACAGAAGGCGCTCTGAACAATAAGGACATAAGTGCCTGAGTTGTGTTGATTGTACCATTTCACTTAATAACAACAACAACAACAATAATAACAATAATAACAACAATAACAATAATAATAATAATAATAATAATAATAATAACAATAATAATAATAATAATAATAATAATAATAATAATAATAATAATGAAAGTCAAGAACCCACAATCATTTTCTTTTAAGTTTGGTTAAAAATTATTAATATTCATCTTTCACTAACAATCAATTTCATCAACCTTTCTCTTCTATACTTTCACTCTAACACCAAATTCATTCTTTATTTTCCCAGTGTCATTTTCTTTCTCTTCAACTTTCTTTTCAAACACTTTCTCTAACTTACCACTTTCTCTCAAATTTTCTCACTTCACTCTCTCTATGGCACAGTTTTCAATCAAACTTTCTATCTCTGTCAAACTTTCTCTTTCTTATCATTTATCCTATTTCCAAACTTTCCTTTTCACTTAAATTCTAATTGAATTTTTTTTATTGCATTTTCCTCTTTCCATTCTGTTTATTTTATTATAAAGTTTTCTTTCTTTCTCTAATAATCGTTTTTTTCGTTTTCCACATCATTCGTTTTCTCTTATTATCACATTTTTCCTTCCCACACCACTTGTTTATCTGTATTATCGCACTTTTTCCTTTCTCCACCATTCGCTTTCTTCTCTTATCGCACTTTTTCCTTTCTCCACCATTCGCTTTCTTCTCTTATCGCACTTTTTCCTTTCTCCACCATTCGCTTTCTTCTCTTATCGCACTTTTTCCTTTCTCCACCATTCGCTTTCTTCTCTTATCGCATTTTTCTCCTTTCTACACCATTCGTTTCCCTGTATTATCACACCTCTCCCACTTCCTCCTCGTTCGTCATTCCGTCGCTTCTCTTTCTATAATTCTCTCGGCTTTTCTTCCCGCGCGTTAATCCTTCCCGTTCCCACACTATCGGGCGTGAAGCGTGAAAGCATCTTACAATCGCCTCCTTCTAAGATTGGGAGCCAATATTCACTGATTGGAACGTTTATATAGTCTTTTAAAAATAAGTCACAAGATTAGGAGTCAATAATAAAAGATTCGTCCAGATTCACAAAGATTGGTAAGTTAATAGTCTAAAATGTCATAGGATTGGGTATTAATGATTCACAAAAGATTCACAGTTATAGGATTGGGTGTTAAACGATTCACAAAAGATTCACAAAGTCAATTTTCCATCCAAAATATGAATAAAAAACACGTGTTAATTTTACTTTACAGTCGCGATTCAAATTTTACGCCATTTTGTTTATATTTCTACCCAGACATCAGTGTGTCGTAGGTAAAGGGATCCAGAATTTGTGAGAGGAAAGGGGGTAGAGAGGGAAGGGGGGAGGGAAGGGGAGGGGGGGAGAGAGGGGAAGGGGGGAGGGAATGGAAGAAGGATTAACTTACGAACTCTTTGTCTTAGTCCAGTTA